TTTTTTTTTTCTTTTTTTTTTCTTTTTTTTTTTCTTTTTAGTTACATTTTGTTAACTCCGTGTCCCAGCTGTATCCCGCTCCCTCATTCCCTCCCCAACCCCACACTCCCTCCCTGGTCTCCTCCCTGCCCCTTTCCAAGTCCCCTGATAGGGGAGGACCTCCTCCCCTTTCATCTGACCCTGGTTTATCAGGTATCTTCAGGGCTGGCTGCAAAGTCCTCCTCTGTGGCCTAACAGACTGCTCCTCCCCTGGGGGGAGGGGGGTCAAACAGCCTGCCCTTGAGATCCTGTTAGAAATAGTCCGTGTCCCCCTTACTTTGGAAAACTACTTGGTTACTGAGCTACCACAGGCCACATCCGAGCAGAAGTTCTAGGTTATATCCATAGATGGTCCTTGGTTGAGTTTCAGTCTCAGAAAAGACCCTGTGCCCAGATATATTTGGTCCTTGTAGAGCTCCTATCCTTTCCATATCATACTAACTTCCCTTCTTTCATATGATTCCCTGCACTCTGCCGAGGGTTTGGTTATGAGTCTTAGTGTCTGCTTTGAAACACTGCTAGGTAGAGTCTTTCAGATGCCTTTTGTGGTAGACTCCTGTCATAAGTTCAAGGCACATCCCATTTGTCTTTCTAAATGAGGATTAATCACCTTCGCCTGTGTCCACTTTCTTGATTATCTTCTTTAGGTGTGTAGATTTCATTATGTTTATCATGTCTTCTTCTTTCTAAGAGGTACACAAGTATTCACGTGTCCGCTGACATTTTCACCGTGAAATGAGACAAACCCACCCTGGTCCCACTCTTTCCCTGTCGGTAATAACCCCCCATTTGCCAAACCGCCACTCCTTGGTGGCATCTTCATCTCGCTATGGAAGACCCACACTGCAGTATCTGCTCAGGAAACATTCAGGGCTTTATTGGTTTGGCAGCAGACCTGCCTTAACATCTATGATGTCCCGGTAGAGAGTTCAGAGATGCGTGGCTGGAGTCTCTCTTTTTTTATCATAGAGGTTTAGAGAAGGCTTGTTTGCTGTCGTAGAAAATGCTCTTCAGAAATCATGTCGTTTCCAATCTTGAGTCTGCTATTAACACCATTTTAAAGCCTCCAAATATTAAGTGACCATGAAAGTATTGATCTGAGTAATCTTAACATTTTAGAAAACAGAGCAAATGAAAACAACCACCCCTTCATGCTACAGGAGCGATGTTCTTTCAGCTTCCAGCAAGATTAACAATAGTTCTGCCTTCCTCAGGTCTTTCAGCAGTGGTATTATAGTTTACAGATGGTACACACCCTCCAAAGGCTTTGGCCTTCTGTGTAGCAGAGCACAAAGGTGGGGACTTTGGGAGGTGACCGGACAATGTGGTTTCTACTGTCATGAATGGAGGATTACATTTACGAATTCAGATCTTAATGTGATTTTGAGAGGCAATGGAACCTTCAGGAGATGAAGGCTGGTCGAAAGAAGCAGGTCACAGGGGACATGGCCTTGCACGGTATGCTTTGTACCGAGTTCTTTCTGCTCCCAGACCACCGTGAACTGAGCAGCACTGTTCTGCCTCTTGGTACCAGCCAGAGTGTCTTGCCTTGGCTCAGACCTGGAAACAGTGGCTCTAAGTCCTCATGGACTGAAACCTTTCCTCCTTCAAGTTGGTTTTCTCAAGAATTTAGTGCTTGTGATGGAACTCGAACACAAACAGCTTTCTCCGAAGCCACAAGATGAAACTTTAATAAGGACAACTCAGTGAAGGAGGGAAGCTAGCTCAAGAGCCATCTCACTTCAAAGTGTTCTCTAGATTTGTCCAGTTCCCAGACCCAGACAATCAGGGGCTAGGGAGAAGATAGCTTAGTGGATAAGAGCACTCGGTCTGCCAGCAGGAGGACTTGAATCCAAATTCTCATCACCTACAGAAAAAGCCAGCTGTATCACTGGGAGGCAGAGACAGGTGGCTCCTGGGGAGGTGGCTGGCTATCCAGCCTGGCAGAAGGGGTGAGCTTCTATTTCAGTGAGAGACCCAATCTTGAGGGAATAAGAGAGAAAGCAATAGAAGAAGACAACTGATCTCCTCAGTCCTCTGCATGACTAAGTCGGGTTATCTCATGAACCTGCAGACAGACAGACAGACATTACACATACACACACACACACACACACACACACAAGGGGGGGAAAGGATATCACTTCAGTCCCCTGATTTCTCAGCTGGCATGGTGCCCACTCCACACCCTGAGGAAACACTTGTTGAGATGTGTATAAATAAACAAATCTAAGAGACTCACAAATACGATCAAGTGTGAACACACACACATGCAATTTTATGCCAATTTTGAAAGAAAAAGGAGCTCTTGTGTGCTGGATGCAAAGAGGGATCTCCATATGAAAGCAGAACCAAGAATGATGGATCTTTCAATACAAATCAGGACCAACAAGGCTTCAGTGCAAAGCATAAACTTGTCGTGGGCTCTGGCAGACACTTTTTATTTACAATTTATCAATTTCATTGGTATGCAATTTAGGAATTTCAAATTTACATTCATTTAGAGGCTAGCCCACAATTTCTCTTTGTTCTCCTTTTATAAAGGTTAAAATTAGAAGTACAAAACGAATTCACTTCTTTTTTTTTTTCTTTCTAATTATCCAATGTTATTTTTTATAACAGTGACGCCAGTAAAGAGTGAGTTCTGGTCGTCATAGGACCAACATATAAAAAAACTGTGTCTGACCTTAAATACGTTAAGTTATGACTTAAATAAGAAAAAGATGTTTATGAAAAGTTAGATAATTTTCAGTGAAATTTTTAAAATTTCAAACTTCTGCGTGATGGAAGGCACGACACGGTAAGTGAAAAAGTGAACCCAGGGGTGAACAAGCTTCGTATCTGCAAACCCCGACACACCATAACAGCTGGTAGCCAGAATATCCGAAGAAAACCATCAATGATTCTATTTTTTTAAAAAGGTAATAGAGGATTGCAGAATGGTTCAGAGGGTAAGGAAGAGTGCAGCCATGGCTGAAGACCTGAGCTGGATTCCTGGAATTCACAAGGTAGAAGGAGAAAACTGACTCTCCAAAACCGCGTTTTGTCCTCCACACTTGTACAATGGCAAGCACATGCCCGTACGCTGTACAGAATATGTTTTAAAACATTTTAAGGCAATATGATGAACAAACAATTCATAAAAGAAGACTTGAGAAGTCATTCAATACACAAGAAGATGGTCAATCTTACTAAGTAAAAAGACTGTAAACAAAACAAGCTCTGACTTTACCCAACAGGACACTAGCAATAGCAGTCATTGTTTAAAGATGTAGGAAGTTGGCTTACACTTGCACAGATTAGTACACAGATACGCATACACACACACACACACACACACACACACACAACCCCACCACCACCACCACCAACACCAAAACCAATGTAATGAATCCTGAAGATTAATCTAATGTAACCCACGGTCTACCTTGAGGCCTCCTTTTCCTTCAAGGATGTCATTAAAATTGGTAGCAGAGATTAGGTGGCTAAATCATTCTAGTGGTCACAAAAGTTTACTAGCCAAAGAGTTCATTTCATCCAAGTAGAAATAATCAGAAACCATACACAGTGAGCCTTTGTGGAAGCATGTTTTGTAAAACTTTTGTTTCAGGTGCATGTTTTATGTGTGTGGGATAAAATATGAAATAGTTTCTGTGTGGTCCTTGGCTTTTACAAAGCTGCTCTAGAATGCAGATCAATCACCAGTTTTCCTTAGAGAGCAAGTTGGTGAGTTCTTGAGGCTTCGTGACCGTAGGGACTGTAACTGTCCAACTCTGCTGGTGTGGCAGGAAAACAGCCACGGCCACTGACAATGAGTGGGAGGCTTTCCAGTAAAACTTTCTGGTCATCATTTCAACAGGTAATCTTTTTTTTTTTTTTTTTTGACAAGGACTTATAATAGCTGTAGTTGCCTGGCACTTACTATATGGCCCATGTTGGCATCTAACTCTTGGCCATTCTCCTGCCTCATTCTCCCAAGTGCTGAAATTACAGGCATGCAACCACTATACAAGTTAGAAAAAAAAATTAATGAGGCACTTTATGTTCATTCTCTTTCTAAGTCTTCAAAATCTTCCACGTATTTTATATTTACAGCACAGTGGAAATGCTAACTACA